AACCATCTCAATCAACACCACAAAGAAAATAGTCTGAGGGCAACACAGCGACCCAGCCTTGCCAAGCATTGCCCTTTTCTGGCTTCACTATCAATGGAACCAGTCTTGTTAAAGTAGATTTGGCTCCATGAAGTTGAGAGTTTTCCATCTGAAATATGTTTCCTGGAAGTAAACCCAGACTGTGTGACAGTTCATATCAGGTTGTACTCCAGGAGATGTTGTTGTTATAAGATTGGCCTTTTGAAGGTGGAGGCAGGGGTTGCAGTCCTGAACTCTAGCGATGTCTGTGAGTGAGCTGCAATGTTAGGGCAACCATATTCTAGAAGGTCGTCTTTCAGGTGATTGTGCCATGGTACAACTTTTGGACTGAAAACCAGGGCTGCCCATGGAGGTGTAAGGCTAGTGATGATCCCTTGCTGCATCCTAATGGGTACAGTTGGTCAGACATGGTTTTTCACTCACTGATGAAATGAGTCTTCACCATCTCAAAAAAAAGACCAACTCTGGGAAGGCAGAAAGTTCAATGTTATTTGATGACTTTATGATAAAGGAGAGGAAACAGAGAACTAGAAAGACAGTTCCAATAGCAGAGACATTACAGCAGACAGAAGTTGAATTTTCTTTAACTTAAATGGGATGTTCACTTCATTTCTCGGATTGTGTTGTCAGTCTGTGCATTTATGGAAGAGGTGGGGGAAGGAATATTTGCATAGGCCTTCAAGAGTGCTGGGAGGTAAAAAGGGGGGAACTTCTGGACCTTGGCCTTGACTGTGTATGTATCTTTCCCAACTTAGGAAGCTGAAAATGACACTGTGAACTGGCAGCAAAGAAGAATCAGATGGCAGCTGCAGGTAAAATTTGAAAATAGCTACAGAAGGGGCGCCTGGGTGGCTCAGTTGTTTAAGTGTCCAACTTCAGCTCAGGTCATAATTTTACAGTCTATGAGTTCGAGCCCTGCGTCAGGCTCTGTGCTGACAGGTCAGAGCCTGGAGCCTGTTTCGGATTCTGTTACGTCTATCTCTGTCCCTCCTCCGCTCATGCGTGTGCTCACTCTCTCTCTCTGTCTCAAAAATAAATAAACATTAAAAAAAATAAAATAGCTACAGAAGAAATAAACAAGTACAAGTGAGTTCAGCTACTAATTACCAGCAGCTCGTGAAACCTCTGTTCATTTTTTAAAATCTTTTTTTCAATGTTTAAAGTCAACATACGCATGGAGTATTAACAGATAAAAAAGTTAAATTTTAGAAAGAACAAAACAATTAAGTGTCTAAACATTTGCGGATCTCAAGTAGTGGCCAGACTGTATGGAAACCCTGTCTATGCTAACATTCTCAGACGTGGTGTCAATTGTCATAATCTGTAGGAAAACAGTGTGTCGTACAATGAATCATATCCATAAACATGGTAGTGCCATTTAATGGCCCTAATCTTTGCAAGCCTGGGAAACATGGTGAGGATATAAGTTATAGAAGAATAGAGATTTATGCTAAAAGACACTTGTCACATGATGAGTTAGGGAAAGATTGAAAATGGGAAGGAATTCTATGAACTCTGAACCCTACGGGCATGGAATAATGAGTAAGGAAAGGATGTAACAATAGCTTTGATCCTACTGTACATTGATAATCATGTGAAAAGTGTTTCATGTGTAAGAATAAATTGTATCAGAGGACAGATATGAGGTTGTTGGGAACGTGGGCAGATTATTTAAAATCATACCCAATATTGGGCTTTATCTGACAAGAGCAATTGTAACTCACAGGCGACACATTGAACAAACACGAGAACAGCTGCAGCAGGCAGAACTCACCTTTAGATACCAGGTAATCTGAGTTCTGCCTGACATACTGAACCCTTAGCACCTCATGCGGGTGAGTCTAGTGGCTCTTGGAATCCCTAACCACGGGCTTTTCGTTGTTGGCTTTTTCAGATCGCAGCTCATGAGAAGAATGCTCAGGACAACTAGGTAAGTGTTTTCTTGTTTCCTCCTCTTTCTTTGGTGCACAGTCTGGCACCACCTTCTGACTGAAGGTGGATGTGTTTTTTTCTCCCCCAGATCAAGACTCAGATCTGGGACAGGGAGATGGTGGAGCAGGGCAGGGATGTCGCTTACTTGAAATACAGGTGTGGTCATTTGAGTTGCATTTTTATGGGTGTTTCCAGGGATGACGCCTGCACTGTTTGTTGTCTAGTAGACGACGTGGTGTTGCAACTCTTATAGAAGTCCATTATTTTTCTGTATCCAAGACTGGACAGGATGGAAGCAAAGAGGCTGCCTGAGGGATACACGAGACAGAAACCAATGGCTGCAAGACCAGAGACGCAGAACCTTCCAAGGAGAGGTAAGGAGCACATTGTGATGTGCCACAGTCTAATTTCTGCTGTGCAGCCTGTTCCTGTGCATGATCATTGTGTGGTCTGGAAAGTCACAAGCACAAAGGTCAGCAGGTGGTATGAAGTGGTGACAGAAGGGTGTTCTCCTCTGGTGCCGCAGGCAGTGAGGCACTTGTCCCTGTGACTGATGGAGCTCATGCCCCTCCTCTGTGACCCTCCCACCTCCTCTAGCATTCCCCTGTCTGAAGAGCCTGGAAAGGATGACAGGAAATGGGCCTTATCCTTCCCACCAGGACTCAATGTGAAGACTTTAGTTTATTTGAGGAGAAGGTCATTTATTCACTAGTTTTAATGGTCTTTATTTTTGTTTGTTTTTGGGAACTTTAGCCCTACATCCCTCAATTCAAGTTCCATAGAGCTTAGCTTAGTCCTCTGATGGTATCAGTGCAACTCTGTAGCTTTGCTGCTAACTTCGCATAGTTTTCCTTTTCTCAATAGTGTAAAATTACTCTTTTGTTATATACTAACTGCTCTCATCTGGAAGGCAGCTTGTAGATAAGCTGAGAGATTGTCAATTTGCCTGAAGTCTGAAGAAATGCACCCTTCTTGAGGATTCATTGAGGATATACACCAAACCAGTATTCTCATTTTTATTCTTTTTTTAAGTTTATTTCTTTTGAGAGAGGCAGAGACAGAATGCCAAGCAGGCTCCACACTGTCAGTGAGGAACCCAACGCTGGGCTTGAATTCACAAGCTGTGAGATCGTGACCTGAGCCAAAATCAGGAGTCGGATGCTGAATCCAAGCATCCTCATATTTATTCTTGATCTGTAATGAAATCATGATTTCCCATGATGTATACTGAGAAACCTCTGTTTTACTGATGAATTCTAAATTGCTAGTTGTGCCTGACCTGTCTACAGTTATTTGATTAATTACAAAACAACATGAACAAAGGCACCATGAGGCCTTTATCAAGGTGAGGGGATGGTTCTCCCCTATATCCTTTGGGGTCACCTGAGGCATGTGGGATACCCTCTGCCTCAGATCAGGGACCCAAGTGTAGGGAAAAGTTTAAGATATTTGAGGAATGAGATGAGGGATTGTTTTCCTTCTGCACAGTCCTCTAAAAGCAGAATAAACCTCTGTCCCTTCTAGGGTCTTTAGTAGATCGAGAAACTGCTGAAACCTCTGTGAGTTACAGCGGCTCTGACTGTACCAAGAATACAGACAAGGTAAATGTCGGGGCCATTCTCAGTTGTAACTCTTTGAGGAAACCCTCATCTTTATGTACAGCACGCTCTCCTGGCCTTGTCTTTTTTTGCGTGTTGTGTGATATATCTGTTTGTTCTTTGTTTTCCAAACACACACTCATAACCCAGGAGCCCACAGGCTTCTCAATTTTTAGTCTGTCACCTTTCTGTGGTAAGTTTAGAAGCCAAAAGCACTTAGAGACTGAGTACCTTAAGGTTTGTCCATGAGGTTCAGGAAATAATGAGAGGAGGATGATCCCACACTCCAAACAGAATTCTCCTGGCCTGGGTGACCCCTTCCAGACCTGACCTCTGTGGGAAGAGTGTGACTGCTGTGTCTTCCTTTCTTGATTCTGGCTAGGAGATTAACCTGTTAGAAAGTCTGCCATATTGTTTAAAATTCAAAAGTGCAAAACGACATCATGACTCCAACTTTATATTTTGTGCCCTGTGCCATTTAGAGTGGTCCTAGATGAAGTCAATGTCATCTCTCATCACCTTCCCGTCTTCGTTGGTAAATGACTTGTCTGGAATCCTTCCAGCTATACCTTAGGTAAAAATAGTTTGAACACTGTGTCTTTCAATTGTGTTTATATGAGCCATTTCTGGTTTTGTCCCCAGTCACTGTTAGAGCTGATACAGTCTCATGACACATACCAGGAGTTTTATACCAAAACACTTGCATGAAATCTGTTGTGTGATTTTCTCCCTCTTTTTTTCTGTTGCACATAATGACTCTGTGTCCTGTAGTATGCTTAAAGTCAGAATTCCCTATGAATTAAGATGAACACATCTGAGCTTTGTAGACATTCACCACAATAACTTGTTCCTCACAAAAGACTCTCATTCCTCTGCAAGATTCCAGGAATCCTCTACTCCAAGAGGGAAGACTCCTTTCTCAGGGAGAGGAGCAGAGGCTGCACAGTGAGGGTCCAGCTGCAGAACTTTTTGCCAGGAGTGGCTGTGATTCCGTGAGAAAAATATGAGCCATTTATTCCCACTCATTCTTTTGTGTTCTTAATATACCAAAAGCAGAGCATCTGGAGTCGCCATAGAGGAGGGATGCAGGGTGAACTTGGACATGGATGTCTGACTGGAGAGTGCTACTTCATTAGTCTGTAATTACCTCTGTTAACCCTCTAGGACAGGACCCTTGCCATTTTACTTCTGCAGACATGGGCAGTGATGTGTGGTGGCAATAGGTTAACCTCTTGCATCTACTACCCCAAGCTGTAGGTGGTATCCAGTGGCAGGGACAGAGTTTTCAGGTACTGATGCTACTCTCTTGGATCCTGGTGGCAGAGAAGGTGGCAGCTGCTGACACCTTCTTCTCTGGGTTACAGCTGCTTTTGGTATTGGTTCTTTTGTCTGGAATATGGATGTAGCTGTCACTTCTGTTCTGCAAGGCAGTCTGGATCCTGGAGACCTCCTCCATTAACTGGACGATTCTGCATGCCCTACCCTAGAAACGCCCCACCCCCATGGACTATTAGGCACATCCACCTCCTGAACCTTGGTGGCCCTGGGGCCACCCAAAACCCCTCCGCCTGCAACACTTGGTAAGATGATCTGAGCACTAGGACTTGACTTGTAAAACATACTTACCTTATTTTTGTTGCTGTTAGGTCTTTGGCCAAGGTGCAGAGGTGGTACCACAGACCATTGTGATGCAAGGGGAATGTGTCTGCTGCCATTACCAAATTCTTCATTTCTCAGGATCTCATCTTTATCATTTCCCCCACCATGTGTTGTTACAGGCGTCTCTTGTGGAGAAGGAATGGGGCCGTATGCAGAAAAGCAGACATAGCGCTTCAGCAGAAATGCCCTGTACACAGTCCACATGCTGGGATCTGTGAGGCATGAGGCACAACGTAACGTATGTCCATCTAGTTGTGCCCACAGCCATCCATAGCTGTTCTATGAGTGATGAATACATCTGAGTCAGGGCTTTTAGGAGAAGGGATGGTTCTTCAAGTTATTCTTGGGGATCACCTGAGGCATGTGGGACACCCTGTGCATGTGGTTTGGGATCTAACTGGGGCAAAGAGTTTAAGTTGTTGGAAGAATAGGGGAGCAGTTCTTGTTTTTCTTTTTGCTCTCCAGTCTACTCAAATCAGAATAAACCTCCATCCCTTCTAGGGCTTTATGCAGCTCCAGGAGCAGGTGTCACACCCAACAGTGACATCGACACTGGCTCTGCCAAAACTGCCGAGAAGCACAAGGTAAATGCTGTGGCCATTTTCAGTTCTAAGTCTTTACAGACAGCCACATCTTTCTGTACAGGACACTCTCCTGCCATTGTCTCTGGTTTGCATGGTGTATGGTATGTCTGCTGTGTTTTTTTTTTTTTTCCAAATGCAAAACCTTTACCCCCGAGTCTACAGGCTTCCCTGTTTTCCATCTGGTGTCTCTTTGTGGTAACTTTACAAGCTAAGAGTGCTTAAGGGTGAGAATCATAGGGCTTTTCCAATGTGTTCCTGGAATAAATCAAGGAAGATGACACCACACTCCACTTGGAAGTCTCCTACCTTGCCTCATTCTTTGTGGATCTCCTCAATGTGGAATCATTGCTGTTTCTTCCTCTCCTGTTTCCTTCTATTGAGGGTTTTAATGTGCTCAGAAAAGTCTGTGGGTATCCTTACAACTTGAAAATGCGAATTGCCTTCACTCCAACTTATATTTTTGTATGTGTCATTTACAATGGTCTTAGACAAAGTAAATTTCATACCCATCAGCATTTTGGTAAACATGCTGTCCAGAGTCCCTTAAGGTGTGCCCTGGGCACAAATATCTGAAATATAAGAGGTGGCATATTTGTGATAGAAAACATGCACTGGAACTTCAGTTGTGAAGAGAAAATATCCAAAATTACCTGTGTGGCAAGTCCCCACGGTGTCCTTCACTTGTGTTCACATGAGCACGTTCTCTCATGCCCTGTGTCACAGGTACAGCTAAAACATGGAAACTTACACCAGACATCAAAGTGCATTTGTGTTAATTTTGTCTTTTAGAATTTCAGCTTTTTCCAGAGGACACAATTACCCTCCGAAGTGTACTGCACTTAAGCTGAGAAGTACCTCTGAAGTAAAATAAATTAGCTGAACCCAACTAACATGTATAGGTTACCTGTTTCTCTAAGAGCACACTTCCCCAGGTCCTCTGCAGCTCCTCAGGATCCCCATCTCCCCATGTGTCTCTGTGCCCATGGATAGCACTTCCAGAGAGGAGGAGACCCCCTTGTCGGGACAGAAGTAGATTGGGCACAGGCAGGGGCTTAGAGGCAGAGCTTTGAGCCATGAGGGCTATGATTCCATGTGTGGACACTGGTATTGTCATTCCTTCTCATTCTGTAGTTCTTCATATACACAATAAACACCCCTTGTGGTGGAGGGGGATGAAGGGTGGAGGGTGATCTTGGACATAGATGTCTTCCTATCTGGAATATTCTACTTTTTAAATTTGGTATTCAGTCTATAAATCTTGTAGAAAAAGGGCCCTTGCTGTTTCTACATCTCCAGACACGTGGAGACACTAATTTATCCCAATCACATCCATTCCCCACCCCAAAGCTGTAAGTGGAGCCCAAAGTATGGGTAGAGATTTTGGTGCTGATACTGCCTTCTTGGAACCTGGTGGTGGGGAAGCTAGTAGGATATGAGCACTGCTTCTTTGGGTTTCTGCTTTTTGCTGGTGTTGGCGCTCTGTTCTGTCCTATGAACATACCTGTCATTTATTTTCCACAGGCTATTTTGTATGCAAGAGGGCCTGGTCCTTCCCAGGATCGCCTTGCAGGCTATACCCCATGGACCACCCTTCACCACCAGTCATGGGCTATGGGCCAACTACCCCTCCTCCACCAGCTCCTCCACATACTCTATTTGTTAAGATGACATGAACTGGATGAGTGGCTGGTAAAGTATATTCATCTTCTTCATGATTGACTTTGTGGGAATGATGTAGAGATGGCTGTGAGCCTTAGCAATCCAACTACAAACTGCCTGAGGACACTGTAGCATATCTCAAGTTTCTCAGGATATACACACAATGGGCAGTGTCATGTCCCTGTAATACGGTGAGCTATACGTTTCTCTTGTCAAATGAAAGAGGATTTTTTACACAAAAGCAGACATATCAGCAGTACTGGTGCGTATGTTGGAGACACAATGTTTTGGGTTCTGTAAAGAATGAGGCGCACCCCTAACTTTTAGAGCATCAGGTGTCCTGTGTGAAAGAGGGACATTCATTAAATGATGCAGACTTTGTGATCACCATGATGGAAACACCAGTGAAGGATCGAGTGCAAAAACAGGGGAACCTTGAGTCATACGGGAATAGAAGGGAAGTTGAGCACAGTAAGCAGAGTTTGAGGGGGTGCAGAGGGGAGGGTGTTGGGGTCAGTGAGATGCAGTTGGAGGTCATTCCTGGCCACAGCCTGAGCAGAGAGTGTGAGGTCCACATGGAGCTGCTATGTGGGATCCAATATGTCAGTGTGTTGCCAAAATGCACGCAGGTAATCATCTAAAAAGATTGTTGTCTCCCTGGATTTTCCTGAAGGTTTGTGGGGGAAAAAAGCCCTGGAGATATGGGGAATTTAACTTGGTCTTATGAAAATGCTGTATGCCCAAGTTCATATCCCTCAGTGAGATTAAAAGTGGAGACAGGATCTAAATCAGCTGAGTGGCTGCATTGGCCTTCAGCCTGGGCCAACCTACAATTCAGGGCTGGCCAGATGCCACCCCTGCTGGACCCCTGTCATCACCCTGACTACAGCTTTGCATCTCCTCAAACTTCTCTCACAATATCCTGAGGCTTTGCCTGTGTTCCTGCTGTCTCAGCCCTAATACCAGTTCTCAGTGGGACCTACACAGAGCCTCAGCTGTGTTATCTGTGAAAACAGGTGTAATATAGGTTTCTAAGAACACTAGAAAAAGAAGACATTAAATACATAAAGCATCTGCAAAATCTCTGGGTAGTGTCCCTCATGCTTCTCACAGTTTCAATTAAGATATCTCAACACAATGATCCTCCATAAAAGATGGTCACAGGAGTTCATTAAACTAAGACTGTTAACAACTCAGCCCAGGGAGTGGGAATCACTGTTTTAAAATATAAGACAATGTCCCTCATTTTTCTGTTACAATTCGGGCCCTGCCACACAATGAAAGAAAAGATAATTATGAAAATGTGTACATTCAGAGACCTAGATCTGAAGACAATCATTTTCTATTACACGTAATCTCACAGATGCAGCCACACACTAAAGTGTTCGTCTGAGGCCACAGATAAACTACAGAAGACAGAATGCATGTAGGAAAACATAAGATCACAGGGAAATAAACCAAAATCTCTTTGCCTTCTAGGACAACTCTTTTGAAATTTGAAGAGGACTGTGCATGGTGACAGACTATCATGTTTGTATATACATTTTAAGAAAGTGTCAGATCTACCTGAATGCTTTCCATGCCCATCCTGTCCCCTCCACTTTGTCCTTCCTACTGTCCCCTAATCCACCTTTCATTGTTATGTCTCTGTGTCAGCGTCTGCTTCTAGGACCATCTACTCTCACTCCCCATTGGTGCACACAGTGGGGTTCCTGTACACACAGGTAACAAACTGGCAGAAATGGTGGAGGGAGTTTTCTGGGGTGATGGGAACTTCCTATATCTAGATTGATGGGGTGCTTATGCTCATTTATTTTGGAAATATTCCCTGAGTCCATGGTGCCTTGGGGTCAGATAGGTATCTGTGCTTAGGAAATGGCTGAGTTCTAATGGTGGAGAAGGATGAGGGACTAGCAGTGACTGTGGTAGAGAAGTGAGGGTCAGACCCACACCCAGGATGCCAGGTCTCCACAGACAGCACCACGTGTATGAGGACTCTGAGGAGGAGAGATTTCTTGATCAGACCCATGGACTACATAATCATCCTGCAGTTTCCTTACTGAGCGATGGCCAGAGCAGAAGGACAGCAGCTGGAGGACACCCTGATCATGGCTGGAGTGGAGCAGTGGGCCTGGGGGATTGAGTCAGGGAAAGGGACAGGGAGAAGGTAGCAACAGGGAGTTTGGGAAGAGAAGGGACCCTTCTCTGCTGACTTCACCTACATTTCTGTGTGACCAAAAGGACATACTTGTCTCCTAGGGAAGGGAAGAGCGCTGGAAAAAAGAGTGACATTCTCAGCTCAAGTGCCCAGAGTATCTGCCTTGCCCTTGAGTACCTAACACAGGAAGCACGTGCTTTCTGTAATGATTGGAACCGCAGTTCGTACCATTTAGTGAAAAGCAATCCAATTATGAATCCCTCAGCATTAAAGTACTGCAAAAAAGTTAACAGACTGAAAGATATAACACAGGATAAAGTCCAAAGGTAGACCGACTGCAATACTTACTTGAATACAGTCTATCAAAAAAGGAGGTAGGTACCCCAGTGCAGTCATTCAGACACCTAGGCAATATCTGAAAATGTAAAAAAAAAAAAAAAAATGTAGTCTTTACTTCAAGAGCAACATTAGCGCTAGACACAAAGGGATCATGATTTAAGGTTTAGAGAGAAAGCATGTGACTTCATGGTGCTGTACCCATGAGATCAAGTCTCATCAAATTATACCCTTTAACTTGAGTCTATTATATGCAAATTATACCTCATTAAAGAGAGTTTCAAAACATAAAATACTAGAAGCAAGTATGGGAACATTCCTTTCTAATACTGAAGTGCACGGGTGATATGAGTATGTCTGCCCATGTCTCAAAAATCCAAACTAATAAGACACTTAAAAAATTAGTAATATCAGAGTAAGAAGACCCTGTGCTCACCCTGTCCCATGTGTTCAAGTACATAACATCCACATCCAAGTCCATGAACCAGAGAATAATCCAAAGACTGGCAGAACAAACTCCACACCTAAATAGAAGCTGCATCAGAAAGGTGGAGTCTGGCTGCCTGCAGAAGGGGCAGAAAGAGTGAGCCCTCACACCAGGGAAGACTAATCTCCATAACATTGGGCATTAAAACCCAGAGGGGCTGAATTCCCTTGAGTTTACATCCTGGAGCTTTGGAGGTCAGCTGACCCAGCACTGGGTGATCCAGGAGGATGAGTGATAGCCAGGTCCCTGCCTGTGTAGAGAGGCAACATAAACATGGCATTTTACACAATGCTGAAGCAACAGGAGACAGATGTATTCATGATGATTCCTGAGGGGGTTGGAGGACTTCTCCAACAATGAGGGTGCTTACAGGCACCATTCTTTTCCCCCAGCCTCCCAGAATAACCACAGAAGCACCCACTAGAGGGTGAGGCTGCACAGACACTTGCTACCTAACCCATTAGCAGTGCGCCAGTCCCAAAGGTTCACTGGGGGACTCATCACACTAAGCCTGCTGATCTCAGGGCAAACATTCTTAAAACCACAAGGGCACCCTCTCCGACAAGCTGCATGCATAGCTGCCACAGCACACTGTGCACATCTGCCCCTAACCCAGATGTGCATATCCAGGCACCCTCATCTGTCTCACCCAGGCACATGTCCCCAGGCACAGACATGCTCTGTGCATATCCTCAAGCCCCTAGTTTCCACCGCTGGTTCACAGCCCCCAGCCACCAAAGGATATCAGGAAACCTAGCATAGGGCTAGTAGCCCTGTGCAATTTTAGCTAACACTCCTGCCCTGCACCCAAGTTACCCAGCGGGCATAACACCCCACAGCTGGCCTGCCTGGGTCCCACTAACACCACTGAGAGCAGGCACAGCCCACAACAGGCACGCAATCAGTGCAGACACCTGCACTGAAAGGAAAAGTAACCCAGACACAACAGCAGGCTGCAAACAATACCCATATGATATCCTCCAGAAGGTCCAGGTTCTATAAATGGAGACATGCACTACTGAGGTCTCCAGGACTTCTTCTTCATAACGTCATTAATTTCAAGATCAGAAGGCACAGCTGACTTTCTTAACACAGAGAAATAGAGCCAGAGAGACAGACAAAATGGACACACAGAGATGTTAATCCACAATGAAAGACCTAGTCAAAGCCACATCCATAGATCTAAGCCAAAGAGATATAAGTAGCATACCTGATACAGAATTTAAAGCAATGATCATAAGGATACTTATTAGAGTTGCAAAATGAGTAGAAGAGTGAGACCCCTGACATAGAGATAAGAAATAACACAGTAGACATTGAGGACACAATAAAGAAGAAACACGCTTGCTGGAATGAACAGAGGGATGGAAGAAGCAGCAGAACAAACTAGTGACCTCGAAGACTGAGTAATGGAAATTAATCACACTGAACCAAAGAGAGAGAACAGAATTCTGCACCGTGAGATGAGACTAAGGGAACTCAGTGACTACAGGAAAGATAATAGTATTCATATTGTAGGAGTCCCAGAAGGAAGAGAAAATGGGGTGGAAATTTTATTTGAGGAATAGCTGAAAACGTCCCTAACTGGGGGAGGGAAACAAACACCCCCATCCAGGAGGCTAGAAAACACCCATCCAAATCAACAAAATCAGGCCAACACACAAACATATTGTAAGCAAACTTGAAAATTACAGTGAAAATAAAGAAAACCTCTTAAAAGCAGCAAAAGAGTCCTTAGCTTAGAACGGAACACCCATAACCCTAGCTACATATTTCTGAAAAGAAACTTGGCAAGCCAGAAGCGAGTGACGTCACATATTCAAAGTGCTGAATGGAAAAATAAGCAGCCAAGAACACTCTATCCAGCAAGGCTATCATTCAGAATGGAAGGAGACACAGACTTTCCCAAACAAAAACTAAAGGAGTTTGTACCACTGAACCAGTCCTGCAAGAAATATTAAGAGGGATTAAAGACACAAATCAAGTAAAACATGAATATTTCTGTAAAAAAACAGTTAAGGAACTCAGAGAAATGGATTTGAAATATAACATCTACGGAGGAGAAAATAATGGGTGCAAAGATAAATGACCATCAGCTTAATACAAACTACTTAATGCAGAAGAGGTTATATAAACACCTAACAGTAACTATATACTAAAACCCGTCATAAGTATGCTAATAATAGAGAAAAGAAATCAAAATGTATCATTAAAGATAATAAGCAAAACATGAAAGAAAGGCAAGAAAGGATCAGAGAAAATCATTAGAAACCACAACAAAACAGGCAATAAAATGACAATGCATATAGACATATCAATCATTACTTTGAAGGTAAATGGAGTGAATGCTCCAATCTAGAGACTTAGGGTATAAGAATGGATAAAAACAAAACAGATTTAGATGACTACAAGTGACCCACTTTACACCTCAAGAATGATAGAGGATAGAGAAACATCACACAAATTCATGTCAAAAGAAAACTGGAGTAGCAATACTTGTATCAGAAAAAATACACTTAAAAATGTATATAACAAGAGACAGAGAAGGACACTATATAACACCAAAGGGTACAATCCAAAAAGAAGATAAACCAACTGTAAATATATCCCACAATTAAGTGGGATTTATTCCCAAGCTACAAAGGTGGTTCAATATTCGCAAATCAGTCAATGTGATACAATGTATCAATAGGAGAAAGGATAAGAACCAGATGATCGGGGCATCTGAGTAGCTAAATCCTT